CCTTCCTGTTTTGTACCACCCTCTCCATCATCCATTAGAAGTTTTTCTCCTTTTCTGGTACCTTTGGTGTCCCTGAGGCACCAGACACCTTCAGACCCTCATTTGTCACTGAGTAAGAGGAGAGTCAACTTGCTATTCTAACTGGCTAAGGAGACAAAGAGAAAGTTACACTCCTTATAACATCTGAGCTGGATTCTGATTATCAGAAAAAGAGGACCATTTAAGGGCTACTACTCTCTCAAGTACTAATATCTTACCTCATTTTGGTGAATATATTCCCTCTGGATAGCATAATACAACTTTTTTCCTTTTTTTCAGTATTCCATGCAAAGGCTGCTTTAAAAAGGAGACTGACAGATAACGCTAATTTAGAGAGTCTTCTAACAGGTAAGTGACAGGTGATTTCCACCTTTGCCAGCTGATCGAGTGATTATGACAAATTAATTCAACATAATTAACAATAATTCTATGTGATTTGTGACTTAACTGTTCCCACATCACCCAAGGAATGAAGAAGAAGAAATGAATAAATCAAATTTTTATAGACTTACTGTTAACATAGAAAATAAGTTGAATGAAATACAAGCTTTGAAATAGAACACTCTATTGAACTAAAAAAAAAATATTTGATGAGCACTTGGAATGTGAAAAGCCATTAATGCTATGTGCAGAGAGAAGGATGAATTATATGTCTTATAGTTTATTGCATTTTTTTTGTAGCAGAGTATAGCAAAGTGCATAATTTTTTTAATTGAAGGCAGTTGGGCCAGATAAGTCCACACTCTCACTGAGGGTACCAGTAACTTTGAAGAGATTATAACTGATAAAGTTACAGACTAGTAACTTTGACAAAGCTTCTGCAGAGTGCTAGCTTTTCCAAAGCCAAATGACAGATTTGAATACAATATTGTATATCACAGCACAGAATTATTACTCCTCACATGTTTCTTACGTGGTATCATAAGAATGTCATTTGCAATTAAAACATATCTGAGATGAAGTATGAAAATTTGACAGCTACTCCTCAGAAAACATTTAGGGCAAACATGAAAATACATGGGGGTGGGTTGTATTAAGTGTGTTTTGGTGGGTAGCCTAAACACTATATATTGAAGGTGAAAAATATATGGTTAAAATAGTAGGGACATTACTAAAAATATCTTGGGTAAAAAAATCTCACCTTCTGCTCAATATTTGTCCCTGCCCACCTTCTTTCTTGTGTCGTCTTATCTATACTTCTCCCTCCAAAACGCTCCAGCTGTCTATCTATTAAGATGTGGGAAAAGAACTGGAACGGTTGGTCACGCCTGTAATCCTAGCACTCTGAGAGGCCAAGGCAGGTGGATTGCTTTGAGCTCATGTGTTCGAGATCAGCTTGATCGAGAGCAAAACTACTCCACCAAAACTAGCCGGGTGTCACAGTTACTAAGGAAACTGAGGCAAGAGGATATCTTGAGCCTAAAGAGTTTGAGGATGCTGCAAGCTCCGATGACACCATGGCACTCTACTCAGGGTGACAGAATGAGACACTGTCTCACAAAAAAGACAAAAAAAATAGGGGGAGGAATATTACCTACTAAATTCACAATGTTTGGGGCAAGCAGATGTAAGAAGGATAGGTAATGGGCACTGGATTTTATGACATTTTAGTCCTCATGCCAGGCTATTTGCCAGGGCATCACTTAACCAGATAGGATTCAGTTAGACAGAGTGAGGAGCTCCAGGAGGGTAGAATGTATCACTCTTTAAATTGGGCTTGTGGGGGATAAAGCAGCTTGGGACAACCGGTTTTCTTTTTTACAGAGAATGATAAATTTTGCATAGAAATAAAGTGAGTATAGTGATTCTCTCAAAGATAGAAGTCTGCTATACTCGTCCCATGGAGGTTTGGGTAGATTCAGACGGGCTCTTTAACAGTGTTCTCATTTTGACCTCTGTGATGTAATAAGGAGGCACAGAGGAGCCAGCTGACACTGTCTTCCCCCCCCTCATCTGTCCTCCACCTTTTCTCTGTTGCTTTTCTTTCACCTTTTCTCTGTTACCTCCAACATCAGCACATTATTTACTGTTTTTTTTTGAACAATGTCACCATTTTAAGGTTGGCCTACCCTGTTTTGAAGAGTCGAGGTCTGCACAGTAGTTATTAGAAGATATGATGTGTTATTGGTGCTGTTTTATCTACAGATGACTGTAACCTATTTTTGAGGTCTGATTCTTCTGAGAACTTTCTGCAAAGAGTTGAGACTCCTATGGGAAAAAATGGATGAGGATAGTACACATAGAAAGTCACACAAATGTGCATCACTATGAAAAGCTAAGAAAAATGTCAAGACTCTCCCTGCATTGGTTAGGGGCTAAGGATTCATGTAAGACAAGAACAGCTAATTTCTAAGATGGTCATTCTGTGGGAGTCATAGTTCCAAGGTATTCATGGCAGTGTCTTGGTGTGCAGAGTGCAGTATGCATCACTCCTGGTCATGGAGCTGATTCACAAAGTTATTTAAAACAGCTCTCAGGTTTCCCCCACCTTTTTTGGCTTTTTAAATGAGAAGCATATTTGTGAATCTACCATATATAATAGATAGAAAGCCCCAGCAAATTAATGATGTGATTGTCTTTTGCAATCAGAATAGCACTAGAATAATCAGATAAATACCATTATATTTTAAGAGGTAAGAGAGAATGCTCAATTCAAAAACATGAAGCACCTACATTGTGCAAACATCGGGCTTGCTACAGTGGAGAATAATATCCTGGTAGTTTTCCAATGTTACCATTCCAGGAAGGAAGCTAAAGGAAGCACACACATAGGGAAATATCTGCAATAGCCTAAGAAAAGGTGGAAGGACAATGCTTAGAAAGCAGCAGAGATAATTTACTTTTTCAAAGGAAATCATTGAAAGCTTCTCAGAGGACATTTCTCCACAGTTGGATCTTGAAGTTTTGAGACATTCAAGTAGCCAGAAATGGAAAGGAATTCCAGGAAGAAAGATGGCTATTGACTATTGATTAAACTATTGATCTACAATTTTAAGAGAACCTACAATTCTTACCAAGTTAATTGGATCATGTTTATAACTTTTAGCTTATCTAAAAAAAAATCTATGTCCAGAGGTGTAATGTAAATTAGTTTGTTCTAGAAGTGGTTAGTCTAATGGGATTGCTAATACGTAGACTGAAAGCCATCCACTCATAGAAGTGGTCAAAATCATGGACTGTTGTATGTGATAAAGATTTTCATGTTTGTACTAGATTCTTGTGCATAAAGGAAAAAAATAGAACATTGGAATGATTAAAACACCAACACAGTCCCCCTTACAGCTTAAGATTCTTGTCAAGGATCACAATCTCTCTATCTATACATATTAATATGTATTTGTATATTAACATATGTAGTATTATTCTCAGTACCCCCAAGTGAATATTTTACATTTTCCCAGGCATGTTTTTTGATCTGGAGGAAGATAAAGTATATTTATAGGCTGTTAAGTAGAAAAATATTTATCAAGGGAGAGGAAGAAATGTATATATATATGTGCATATATATTCACATATATACATGAATTATTTGCATATATGTGTGAACTTACAACATTCACTTCATATATGTGTGTGTGTGTGTAGGTGTATATATATTCAATATTATCAATATTGTCTATTATAGCTGTGCTTTGGCCAACTCACAACTTTCAAGTAGTGAAGGTATGGATGGGATTGCAGAGAAGCACATAAGCTAAGTATGTCTTTCAGATTAAGTAAATTACATTTTAGTTTATACTTTGACTTGAATTTATGTCTTCCAGTGTCAACTTGACAAGAAAGATCTAGAGAAAAGGTCTTCATGAGATTCAAGATGTACAATGATATTTCTTTCCATGTTAAAAAAAAAAATCTTCATTGTAGGAAGCAACATTTCAAAGTTGAAGAATTACTGACTTTTCTAGAATAGGAAACAAATTGAATTCTTCAAAGAAGTCAGTTACTGTCTATTTTCTCCCTTCTCCAAAACATCATCTTTCCTCTCTTCTGAATCACAGCTCTCTTCAAACAATGTAAGGTTTTCGGATACCTGGATGATCAAACATGATCTAGTCCTATGTCAACTGCCTGGTTACATCCCTTCAATCCACTCTAAAGGTAAAATGTTTAAGTTAAAATTTGGAATTGTGAAAAAATGAGAAACTGAGTAGTGATACCCTACCCTTAATTCATTTAAATGCAACCCTAGGGACTCTGAGTGCTCTAAGGATGCTTTTAATAACATAAAGGAGGAACATTAGAACTGGGAAAATTTAAGATATTACCAATTATCAAAGAACACTCATGTCAAGTACTACATACCACGCAGACACCGCACAGTAACAGCAGATTTTGTAGAGGTTATAAATATTTCTCTTTCCTCTGCAACCAGTAACATCTGGGAGAAATTTTACAGAAAACTGGAGCTATTGATATATTCTTAAATAATATGTATCTATATAAATATGTATGATGAATATGTAATGTATAAGCCACGTACAAATGAGACGTAATGTACAGGGTGGTGGTTGTGTGGGACATTATAACATGGAAGTCCAAGGGCAGGGCAGTCAAATAACTGTAAATACTGAGTGGTATGCCATGCAAAAAATATGCTCCAGTATTTTTTAATAATGAAAGACAAAGAAGTTAATATTAAAATAAATACATATCTCTTAACTTTATATTCATTGAATGGGCAAAATTTATAAGCATCATGACAAAGTTAACAATTTTTATTTTGAAGAATGCTATGGGGAAGTGTCATATTCATAAGCATATTTGAGACCCATAATAACCCTATGAAGTTATAAAATTGACAAACAAGTGTTGAAGTGACCTATTAAGAAAATAAAAATAGAATATCCCTGATGAAGAACATTTAATTTTGCATAACACCACCTAGAACCCCATAAATTAATTCCTTTATCTTTTGCAGATAAACCATTTCACACTTGCCCCTTCTCTTCATTCATGAAACCATGCAGTTGAATAATAATGTGACTGAGTTCATTCTGATTGGGTTGACACAGGATCCTTTTTGGAAGAAAGCAGTGTTTGTCACTTTCTTGCTTATCTATCTGGGGACGTTGCTGGGTAACTTGCTGATTATTGCTACCATCAAGACCAGCCGGGCACTTGAGAGCCCAATGTTCTTCTTCCTGTTCTACTTATCCTTATCTGATACCTGCCTTTCTACTTCCACAGCCCCTAGAATGATTGTGGATGCCCTTTCAAAGAAAGCCATTATTTCTTTTAGAGAGTGCATGATTCAAGTCTTTACAACCCATTTCTTTGGCTGCTTGGAGATCTTCATACTCATCCTCATGGCAGTTGACCGCTACGTGGCCATCTGTAAGCCCCTGCACTACTTGACCATCATGAACCACCGGGTCTGTGGTGTGTTGGTGGCCGTGGCCTGGGTGGGGTCTTGTGTACATTCTTCAGCTCAGATTTTTCTTGCCTTGAGTTTGCCATTCTGTGGTCCCAATGTGATCGATCACTATTTCTGTGACTTGCAGCCCTTGTTGAAACTTGCTTGTTCAGACACCTACATGGTCAACCTACTCCTGGTTTCCAACAGTGGGGCCATCTGTACGGTGAGTTTTGTCATGCTGATGTTCTCCTATGTTATTATCCTGCGTTCCCTGAGAAACCACAGTGCTGAAGGGAGGAAGAAAGCCCTCTCCACCTGCATCTCCCACATCATCGTGGTCATCTTGTTCTTTGGACCTTGCATATTTATATACACACGACCTGCAACAACCTTCCCCATGGATAAGTCGATAGCTGTGTTTTATACACTTGGAACTCCTTTGCTCAACCCTGTAATTTACACACTGAGGAACGCAGAAGTGAAAAATGCCATGAGGAAGTTGTGGAGCAAGAAATTGATCTCAGATGACAGAAGATGAATGGAGGTTTTAAATTCTTCTTCACAGTTTGGAGTGACGTAGAAGAAGTCAGTGGAGAACATCATCGTATTGTTGATTTAATGTAATTATATTTTGGGATGTAAGCGTTAGTTCCTTTAGGAAAAAAGATAGTGGGAACACACACAGTAGCTAATGTTGAGCATTTTCCTGCTGTGGAAGAGCCAGCCTGAGGCACAAACAGATGTGTAGAGCCCTTTGCATTCAATGCTGTTCACTGCTGTGCCTCTGGCTCTATTGCCTGCCTCATACCACTTAGTTATGTGCTTAATGCTCTTCTCCATGTTGACTTTTGGAGTTCCCTGCTAATAGTTACCCATATGTAAACCCAAAGCTTCTACCCAGCACAGTATGACAGTTTTCCCTCCTTTAAACGGTTTCCTTTATCAGATATTTTGGTTTTACCATATCTGATGGTCAACGTACTTGTTTTTCCTGACCCAGCAGAAAGTATCATTTTAAACAACTGTAGAAGTTTCATGTTATAAGGGATAGTATAAATAAGCTAGGTAATTTCTCTTTCAATTCTTGAAGTTACAAACTAAAATTTTGCCGTAATTTAAGTAGATACTTCTAAAATAATGATGAAAGATGGAGAGAAAAATTCATCCTTCTGCAAGAGTTCTTGATCTCAGGAAGGCTGTCACTGCCAGCAGTGATTTGTTCTTTTTGAAAAATCCACTTTTTGCCTCTATTTGATTCCTTACAATCTTGAAAGATTATTAAGGTTCCTTTTGAATCATAATAATGATAGTAATTTGTTTATAAAGAAGACTATTGTGTTTGTAGCATAGATAGCTCAAATAAGGTAGAGATATTTATGTCAGCTAGAAATAAAGAGTGCAACCGGTTGAGGGTACGAAATTTGAAGTATTAACAGATCAAACAAGGAATGTGATAACCAAGAGAAATTTTATAGGATTGAGAAAGAAATAGTTATAACACAGACATAACTTATTTTAGTGATGTTTTCAATACAATCTAGAAGAGAATAACTTGAACAGAAAAGATGAAGCTGTTAGGATGAAAAGTATAATTTTGCTGTGGTGATGACTACTATATACTTTGTATTAACTTGTCTGGTCCACACTAAACCCAATGCATTATGATGGATAATGATGAGGTCTCAATTAAAGCTCCTTACCTGAGTAACTTACATTATTTAATATAATGACAGAAATTTTGGCACTCAGTAAAAGCAAAAAATTTCCTAATCTCCATAAATAGGGAGGATAAAATCAGTTTATTTTTTTCATAGAACTATGAAAAATACTGATATCACCAGAATACCCAAAGATTTTGCAACCTGTATTACCTTTTATGAACTGGATAATATAGAATTCATAAAGTCTTGCATTCTAGATGGTGCATCAGCCTGAACTGTTAAGATCTGGCCCCGGGAGGCTGGAAGGTGAGAGTATCCATGAACGAATGGATGGTTCTGATTCTAATGTCACTCAGCTCTGTTAAAACAATGCCTTTCCCTCAACTCACAAGAATGGCCACCTTGGGAGTTCTGTATGGTCAAACTGAAAGAAAAGGAAAGGATTTGGGTCTGGTTTGGGGCAAGGCACCACCATACATGGGCATTAACCTGAAAAGAACAGTGGCTCATCACGATTCAAAGGTGGTCTCCAAGTTAAGTAGTATAGGGAATTTCTGCTAATGGGAAAATTGCTGAAGAATACTCTTGTTTTCCCTTTTATATACAGAAAATTGTGCTGGGTTATAGATATACATTGACTCAGAAAGAGAGACAAATTCTTGGGTTGTTAATCAAGGTAAAAAAACTGGAAAAAGCTTTTTGGAAAGAGTGATATGAATAGACTTATGTGGGGACTAACTAGTAGGTGTGTACAAGAGATGAGGCTTCACATTTTTGTATGATCAGGATGAGCTGTGCTCTGGTGGGGCCCAGTCTAAGGCTACCTGGTGATGGCAAAGAAGCGTGTGAACAGAGTGTCTGTTGTGGGAAGGATGTAGGCTGTGTGTAGGCTTGGTGATGTGGGCTCCCTGTTACGAAGACTGTTCTGCCTCCTGCCACTTCTGAATGTCCATCCTGCCAGTAGCAGATTCGAGTCCCTGGGAAAACAGCTATCCACCCGCTACTACATCGATCATATTAGACTTCTTTCACCATTAAGGTGACATCAATTTGTCCTTGCCACAAATTATACATACCTTAGATATGGGTATATACTGGCTTTACGTACACTGACATTAGATGATTTTAACACATATATTGACATAAAATGTCTTAAAAGACATTGCACCTATTTATAGGCAAAGAAGATGCAAAAATAATCTCATGATCTCAGAACTGGGAACTAATTTTTACCATGTAATCTATCACCCATGAACATCCAGTTTGATAGAAGAGATGAAAGGCCTGTTAAAAGCCCAGCTGAAGAGATGAGCTAGAAGTCAGTCCTGGCAGGAGTTGGGATGCTGCGTCTGGATTCATTACATGCATTGAATGCTGAGCCAATGCTTGATACATGGTGTGGGGTCCCCGTTTGTCTGCCCTTCATCACTGTTGACCCAAGTGGTGAAAATAGAATGTTCCCTATTGTTACCTCGGCTAGGAACTCATTTTCAGAGTCTGCATTTTCCTCTAGGTAGAGATCTTGGTTGCTGGAGTGAAAAGTACATCTGCCAGATACATAGTAGGAACCTCCATTTTGTGCTCTTTTTATAAGTGGACCAGGCAAGAAAAGAAGAGTTACTGTTCTGGCTGTGGCACTTGATTCTAATTATTGCGAGTAACTAGTGTTGTAGCTATAGATTAGGACATACATAATGATGTTCACAATGCAGAGAACTCATTGGCATATCGCTTAGCACTTGCACACCCAACAATAACTCTTACTGGACAATTGCAGCAATGACAGCCCCATAAGAATAAAGCAACTGGGATCAAACTCTTGTAGACCATACTCTTTCAGTCACCTCATAAAGCAAACAGCCCAATCCAATAAGAATGCTGGCCAAGGGTGAGAGAAATCTAGAATGGGGAAGAGGGAGATGTTCTGCATCAGTTATCATTTCTGGGAGTTGTGTAACAATAAGGAATGTATCTCAGTTCTGTGTCCTTCTTTAGGTCTGGTTTGGAAAATATGAACAGTCCCTCTCCGAGGGGATTCTGAGTTACTACCTCCCAGATAAGGGCCACATGCTCAGTTGTAAACTCTGGATGTTACCACCGTTATCTCATCTTCTCTCCCTGTAGGTTGCTTTCATGTTCCCCATATTCTGGCAGATCTCCAGAAGATAGCAGCCATGTCCAGTCTGAGCCACTAGACCATGGAGTTTTATTTCCAGGTGCTGCTGCAGGAAGACAGGGTGCATTATTGTATGAAGGAAGAAGTAATGCAGCAATGTTTATACTATTTCTTTCTGTGGATATAAGCAGAATACAACATAGAAAGGTCATGTAGATACATGAGTGATATTATTTTTTAATGTAATGAATCATAAGAACTGTTAAGGAATATCATTTTAGAAGAGTATGGGAAAGAGATGACTAGATTGTTTGTTATTTTGTATGTTTTTGAAATGTTTGAATTCTCACAGTTCAAATGCTTGTGATCCTTTCTGTTTCCATGCAAATAGGCCATCTTGATGGTGACCTTGTGTACCTTTTGACTTTCTTCTGCTTATATGATTGTACTATGAAAAAAACAACTAGTAGTAAATGCTACTTTAAAAATTGGATTTCTGTTAAATGTGGTTAAATATTCATAAAATATATTTCCTCTCTTCTCAATTCTCACTAAAATAATAATGAAATAGAAAATTATATGTTAACCCATAATGAGGAAAGAATGAGGAAGGAAATACGACATGGTGAGAGATTGTTCACACCTCTTTGGAAACATAAGGTGGAGTGATATTAGATAACTGACAGTAGGCAGATGGAGGAAGTTACACCTGTCTGAACCTATGGAATTCCTGAGAACTCCTGAAAAGCCTGGAGAGTCAGGTTCCACAGATTCTAGGGGTGAAATAGACATTGAATTACATGGCGATCATTTTCTTTTTCCAGGCCATTTTCCATGGAGCTGGATGATATCTTCTCTACACTATTGTGCAAAAGATTGGGAGTTTTGTCTTTTGACAAACTGAGTACAAAATTTTCTACTAGTAATGCGGGAAGTGTGATGAAATATGCAACAGTGTGTATGAGGACATGTCCAAATCTATGCAATGAATGATGGTGGCCTTTCCTCTCACTGTTTCTAGGATGTCAGCAGCCTGTATACACACAACCACTTCAAGGATTTTCACATAGTGTAGTAAAGTAGGAGGGGACAGGATTTTCTGAAGAAAATATATGACCAACATACTGCTTGATCACCCACAATTAAGCCCCTCAACATGCAAACACTGCCTACACATTTGAAGAATCCATGTAACTATTTTTAAAATTTCCTTGGTTTTAAATATTAATTGAAATTTTCTGCTTTTAGGTATGATGCAGAACTAGTGAAGAGGTCACTAGAAACCTGTTGGCAAATGAAAGCAGAGAGGGATTGATAGTCTTTCCTTTAAGATCTGGAACAAGATAAAGATCCCCACTTTCATCACTTTTATTCAACATAGAACCAGAATTACTAGTTAGAGCACTCAGACAAGAGAAAGAAATGAAGGGCATCTACACTGGAAAGGAAGTCAGGTTACGCTTGTTTGTTGATAATGTGATCTTATAGCTAGAGAAACCTAAAGACTCCACCTAAAGGTTATTAGAATTGGTAAACTAATTCAGTAAAGTTTCAGGGTATAAAATTAACATACACAAAATTAGTAGCATTTTTATGTGCCAACAGCAAACAATCTAAAAAGAAAACAAAGGATACAATGCTATTTAAAACAGCTACAAATAAAATAAATTACCTAGGAATGGACTTAAACAAGGAAGCGAAAGATCTCTGTAACGATGATTATAAACATTCATGAAAGAATGGAAAGATGTCCCATACTTGTGGATGAGAAGAATCAATAGTGTCAAATTGAAATGAGAATGAAAGATATATACAGATTTGATACAATCCCCATCAAAATATCAATGACATTCTTCAGAGAAATAGAAAATAAAAATCTTAAAAATTATATGGAACCACAAAAGATCCTGTCATTTCCAACAACATGGCTTGACCTGGAGGACATCATGCTAAACCTGGAAAGACAAATCGCACATGTTCTCACTCATTTGTGGGAGGTAAATATTTAAAACCATTGATATCCTGGAGACAGAGCAGAGAAAGGAGGTTACAGAGGCCGGGAAGGGAGATGGGAAGCAGGGAGGCTAGCAAAGAAATCTAAGACCTGAAAGCAGAGGTGGGAGTACTAAAAATGGCTCCCCTGACCACATGAATTGCAAAGGGGCTCCTCAGAAGCTGTCTTGCATCTCTTAGGAGATCACTTAGTGACTTGTTTTTTCCATTGGTCCAACCAACTATTGATGTTTGGATCTTCTTTCTTTCACCTGCTTCTTTACTTGCAGTGATTCTCCCTCCTCCTTTCCCCATTACCTTTTTCTAAAGTCAGTCTCCCCATTATTCACTTTGAAGTTTTCTCTATTTACACTTGTTTTATTTTTTAAATTTTAACATATTAAGGGGGTACAAAAGGGGTTTTTTTAAATTTTAAATATTAAGGGGGTTTTTGTTAAATGGATAACTTGTATAATGATTAATGATTAAGTTGGGCTTTTAGTGTGCCTGTTACCAGAATACTGTTTATTGTGCTCAACAGGTAAGGTTTTATCCTTCACGCCCTTCCTACCCCTCTCCCTGTCTTGGTTTCTAATGCCCATTATCCTAAGTGAGGTGTCTTAGGGATGGAAATACAGGTGAGGTTTAATCATATTAACTTTTATCTAGAAAAATCTTTTATATGAGTGTTAAAAAACGTTTCTCAGATTAGAGTAAAATACAATCTTTTTCTTTTCTTCCTTTCTTTTTCTTTTTGAGACAGAGTCTCACTCTGTCACCCTGGAAAGAGTGCCATAGCATCATAGCTCACAGCAATCTCAAACTCTTGGCTTGAACAATCTTCTTCTCTCAGCCTCCAGAGTAGTTGGGGCTAAAGGCACCCACCACAACACTTGGTTAGTTTTTCTATTTTTAGTAGAGATAGGGTCTTGCTATTGCTGAGCTGGTCTTGAACTCACAAGCTCAAACAATCCACCTGCCTTTGCTTCCCGGAGTGCTAGGATTACAGGTGTGAGCCACCACACCCAGCCTACAATCCCTTTATGAATGACAATAAATCCTATTGAATTTCAGTGTTGCTATGTTATTTGTAAATTAATTTTTGTATATAAGAAAGTGTTAAAAGTAAAATTTTGACTAGACACAATAGATGTAGAATTACAAAATGTGTCCAAATGCTCTTCAACAAATTCATATGTTGAAATTCTAGCCCCAAGGAAATGGGATTAGAGGGAAGGGAGGGGATGAGTGCCTCAGAAAAATAGGCCCGAAAGAGATCCTTTTCCTTCAAGCCAGGTGAGGTTATAGCAAGAAGATTGCAGTCTGGGAACTGGGAAGGGGCCCCTCACTAGACCCCGAATCTGCTGGTACACTGACTTTGGGCTTCCCAGGCTCAAGAACTTTGAGAAATAATTGTCTGTTTTTTATAAGATATCAAGTTTATGGTATTTACTTATAGCAACCCAAAATGGGATAAAACTGCCCATTCTGTATGAAAAAGATTGAGGAGTTTTCCAGTAGGGTTTCTCCGAAATTTCCAGCTTTTATTGGTGTTTGAGGGTCCGTCAATGCAGGTTGATATTTCCCGTGAGGCAGACTTAAGCCCAGATATCTAGAGTAGCATTTCCTCAACAACTTTGATTCTATAAGTGTCCAGGCTCCTGGGGATTAGCTCTCATGATTCCATTCATAAGGGACCAGAATAAAACCTAAAAAAGAATGAGTGTGTATACACACACAAACACACACACATTCAGTCATTAGTCAGTACGTTTCTTCCTGAAGAAAAACTTGTCCAGGAAACAAAATTTCCATGCAGTGATGGCCAGATGTAGATAGAATTCAAGTAAGGTTGGTTAGAATGATTATAAATTTTAAACCTTCACAATCTAATAAAATCTTCTCAGAATAAGGTATATTTACATATATGTATTTATGTATTCACACAAATAAATAGACACGTGCACACATACACAGTATATCTGCATGTGTGTCTTGATTGTTTATTTTCTGACAAGAATCTTTCCTCTTTTCAGTACATGCAATGAAATGAAACAGTTAAGGAAATACACATTCGAATCCTTCTATATTACTTATCAACTGATGTCACATTTTTCTATACCATAATTTTCTCATGGCATTTTTCACTTCTGTATTCCTCAGTGTATAAATCAGAGGGTTGAGTAAGGGTGTCCCAATGGTATAAAACACAGCCACCATCTTGTCTATTGGAAAAGTTGTTGGTGGGCGTGTGTATATAAATATACATGGACCAAAAAACATGACAACCACGATAAAGTGGGAAGTGCATGTAGAAAGTGCTTTTCGTCTTCCTTCAGCACTGTGGTTTCTTAGAGAGTATAAGATGACAATATAGGAGAGAAACAGAATTATGAAACTCAGCATGCAGATGGCCCCACTATTGGACACAATCAGCAAATTTATCACATAAGTGTCCATGCAGGCAAGTTTCAACAAGGGCTGCAAGTCACAGAAATAGTGATCAATTATGTTTGGGCCACAGAAAGGCAATCTCAAAGCCAGGAAAATCTGTGCTGAAGAATGAATGCAAGACCCTATCCAGGCCAAAATCACTAATATACCACAGACATGGTGGCTCATGATGGTTGTGTATCTCAGGGGCTTACAAATGGCTACATAGCGATCAAAGGCCATGAAGATGAGCACAAAGATCTCCATGCATCCAAAGAAATGGGCTGCAAAGACCTGAGTCATGCACTCATTGTAGGAAATGATCTTCTTTCCAGAAAGGGCATCCACAATCAACTTGGGGGCTGTCGTTGTGGAAATGCAAGCATCAGCAAAAGATAGGTAGAACAGGAAAAAGTACATGGGACTTCCAAGGGTCTGGCTTGTTTTAATAGTCACCATGATGAGAGAGTTCCCAAACAGAGTTGCAAGGTAAAGAATCAAGAAAATCCCAAATACTGCTTTCTGCTTTCCAGCATCCTGTGTCAATCCAAACAGAATGAATTTAGTCACACTGTTATTCATCACCACACTAGCATCTGTAGGTAGAATGCAGTTGAAAATCTGCAGAGAGAAGGAAAGAAATGACAATTTGGTGACATCAATGGGCTGACCTCTAATTCTTGGGTTCCCTTTCCTGCCTATTACCTGCCTTTCCGGGGAACCTGGATCCCTATGAATCTTTGTAAATCTGCAAGTGTCCTGGCATCTCCAAGATTTACCTGTTAATTCAGAAAGTCAAGCTTGAGATTGGGCAAAAACTTTTGCATTTGGGAAGTAAAAAATAACTGTCCTTCAAAAATGTTGACTTCCACTTAGATTGAGAACTATAGAACTTGTTCTTTAGTGACTCAACTGCTTTGAAACTTAGCCTTTATATGTACAAAATGTGCTCTGACTTATTCTGAATTTTTAGAAGAATTAAAGATTTTATACCCACACATATCCACATATACACATATTTCTTGTATATGCATCTTATTTCTGTGCTTTGCAATCTGAAAAAAACATTGCAATATAATTAAGCATCAGTATTGTTAGGGAATACCTCTTAAAGAAAATCTCAGTTCAGGACACTCATGCTTGGGTCCATTAGGCCTGACCCTAAAATTTGAATTTTCCAGCTTTTACTGGTGTTTGAGGGTCTGTCAATGTAGGGCGATATCTCCAGTGAGGCAGACTTAAGCCTAGATATCTAGAGTAGCATTTCCTCAACAACTTGATTCTGCCTGGATGAAATGTGCTTTACAAAGAATTTTGACAAACTCACTTAATGTCTCTTGTGTTCAAGATGGCAGCTCATGGATGGTCATGATATAACAGATATCTGGATAATATCTTGAGGTTGGCATAATTGAAAGAAACTACTCTTCACCCTCTTTACTGTACTTTTAAACTTATTCTAATAAAATATTGAGTTTCTCTGTGTATGAATTTGACCTGATATAAAATTTCTAACATGATTGGGACATAAGTAGCATGTTTTCTCAGTCATATATGTACGTTGTGACATACACATCCTTAATTCCCTAGAAATTTTTTCTACAAACATTATTTGAAAGAAATTCCATAATCTCAACATATAATAATGTTTCCATTTCAAGTCCTACCTAATCACATATATAGTTTATATGATTGAAGTAATCATATAATACCATTTTGTTTTCAGATGTTGACAAAATTGTTAGATTAATTATTCTCTTGTTATACTCTTTGCAGGTGACCAATTTCATGGTGTAATAATATGTAAATTCTTATAATTGTCCATTGAGACAGCTATGTTGCTTCCACTCTTCACTCTTGCAAATGACAGTTCTGCAAACAACTTTATAAAAATTTCTCAGGTGTGATATTGTTATCCAAATCCTAAATATTATCGGTGTTATTAATTATTCAAAATTACTTTGTACGAAACAAATTGATACTTATTTTTATATATTTATCATAGGATAATTTATGATCATGATGCTATATTTAAAATAAACAGAAAAATGTGAGAGTAAACATTAAAATTTCTCTTCAAATTATTTGAATATATAAACTTAATCCTAAAAATAAATTTTTGTATGTACTTCCCAAAACATTTGTAAGTATATTTGCATATGTGTGTATCTCTATGTCCTTTTGAAAAATGTACAAGTAAGAATGGCCAGTGTTTCAGTATTAATGATTATTCAGAAAATTTGAGGCACATGCAAAAAAATTATCTTGACATTATCTTATTACCTTACTAGAGTAATAGGGATAAATATATATTTTATTCACACAAACTTTATCAACCAAATGTTACATTTTCATATATTTTTTGAAAATATTGTCCTTCTGATCATTTAAAAAAATTTTTGAGCCCATCTTTTGCAATCTTGATATTTTAGTAAAATGGATGTTAATCTAGAAAAATAATAATTATGTTTCTTAATTCAGAATTACGATTTTGCTTCTTCTTCTTATTTCTCTTTTTCAGGCACCTTTTACCTTTTTACATACTTCAATCTGTCAATTTTCCCATCTTAATTTAGTATTTAGTATATTGCTTCAAAATATTAAAAAATTATAATATTTTCTACTTTTCTGTAATTTCATAATCATCTTTCACTTAAATATTGAATCCGAATTGCCTGAAATTAAAATTATTCATTGATGAATTAAGACTGTTGAATAAAAATTGTTGTGAGAAATAGGAAAAATGTTCCCTTTTGTAACAACTTCCATGAATTTTAAGAAAATATCAGATAAAATGATTAATTACATAAGGGACCATGTGATTGGTGTTAGATGACTGGAAACTATCTTTAGAGAAAAGATGTTGTTTTGGAAAAAACAAAATAAGAAGAAGTTAACTGATCAAAGTATTCTATAATAGACATACTCTTATCTGACAATGTGAATGTTACTTTCTTTGCATTATTACTATTATTATTGCTTAATATTTCATTGCAGCAATCATCTGATTTCTTTTCTGAATGTATTTATCTTCATTTGTTCTTTATGAAGTTTTTGTTCTCCGTCCTTATGTTAAACATTGTTATTGTCATTAAATTCACCCTTTTTAATTCTGTAAAGGCAAAAGTGGAAACCTAATATACATATGTATAAGAAAAAGAAATGATATTTTAAAAAAAGTCCCTGAAATATAGATTGGTCAGTGAAGAATCCAAAATTACATAAATCATAGCTTTAATTAAAGAGAGTCAGGTTTTCGACCAGGTTCTCAGAAATGCAAACATTAAATCTGAAGTGGAGAGGTTTGCTGGTGTCTCATAGCAATCAGAGCAGAGTGTGAGCCACACGCATGGACTCAACCCCTCTGCCTTGCCCAGTAGTGGTCTGACATTTAACAGGTCTCTTGATCTTCACATGTAAAACATAAATAATAATCTATCTTTGCTACAAAGGTTAGATAATTTAGTATATACCAAGTACATATAGAAGATGAGGCCATGTACTGTGTACAATTGTAGTTACTTTTATCATGATTATTAGTACTGATTTTCCAAAAGGAACTTTCCATGTTTCAAAAAGGTCACTTTAAATTATTTAATTACCCGTAACATAGCTGCACAACTGTTTGAAAACATTAAGTTTCTTTGTTGAGTGGCGGAAATTATATCAGCACTGTGGATAATACTAGCTATTTATTTATTTATTTGTAACCAAAAGCTAGGAATGACAGTGCTTAATATTTTTAACAAATACAAAAAATAAAATGAATGAAAAGTGCATTAAATCTTGATTATATGGTAAGAAGAAAGATTATATGATGAGAAGAAAAGAGAAATAAAATAAGCCTTCCTTGTTAAAAAAAAGTTGGGATCCAGAGATAAGAAAATCTGAAAAGTAAAGGCGTTTAGAATGAGAGAAATGGAACAAAGTTTTAGTAGAAATCAGAGGGAAAAGGCAAATGGAAGATCAGTACAAAACCTCTAGTTAGACTCCACAGTCATAGTAATGTTTGAAAAAGTAGGTTGTCCTCCTAGCTAAAGGCCATGAAGACCAGGTTATGAACTTTTCTTCATAGGCAAAGTATAAAATTTGGAGGCATAAAATATGAAAGCAGCTTTTATTAAGATTTACTCATCACACAAAACAAAAATCACTCAGAGCTGGTTTAATGGAATGTAGGCTTTTCTAAAAACTAAATTCAGTACAACTGGATTTGAGCTTATGTCAGGAAGAGCCTACCTCCTGTGAGATGTTGGAGTCCACTGAGCCAGTCTGCTTTTGGCTTCTCTGCACTTAGAAGCTCAGTAGGACACATCTGCTCCCTGTGGTGGCTGTGAGCATCACACACAGGATTCCTGGATCAGAAGGAAAATGTGGGAATAGAAAAATTAAACATCTTTGCTCACGTTTAACAGGATCATTTTTGTATTCCCAAGACATAGAACATAATTCATTTTGCACAATATTTAGTACTCATCAAATTATAAGTAAAATATCTTGCATAACTTATTGGAAGAAAAATATGTCACTATCTCACTTTGGGAGAGACCTAAGAGAATTTTCATTTTTCATTAGCTCGTACATACCAAAATCCAGACTGAAGTTTCTAAATGCCATTATTACAAATGGCCAATCCGAGATTCCTTTAAGTGGACTCTTATGGACCTTTGTTAAGATGGCTATTGTACGTCTTTTTTTTTTCCTTTGGAGACAGAGTCTTGCTCTATCATCCTGGGTAGAGTGCCATGGTGTCATCATAGCTCACAGCAACCTCAAACTCTTGGGCTCTTGTGATTTTCTTCTTAGCCTCTCAAGTAGCTGGAACTACAAGTGCCTATCACAATGCCTGAATAGCTTGCTTTCTTTCTCTTTCTCTCTCTCTCTCTCTCCCCCTCTCCCTCTCTCCCTCTTTCCCTCCCTCCCTCCCTTCCTTCCTTCCGAATCAGGGGTTTCACTCTTGCTCAGGCTGGTCTCAAATTCTTTAGCTCAGGTCATTCATCACCTAGGCCTCCCAGAGTGATAGGATTACAGGTATGACCCACCTTGCCTGGCCTTTCTATGTCTTTAAACAGAAAGAAAGACCAAAGTTTAGTTAGATGTTCCCTCTTCCATTCTTGTTATCTTCTCCTTATTTTCACCTCCTTTCTAGAACTTGAAAATGAAGAGTGGGCATTTTAATAGCATGATGATTCATCTATATAATAAAATGATTACTCTGGTTTCCAAATCCAATGGCTGAGTTGCTCACTGCAGCTTTCAAAGTCCACAATGCGATACCCGCACTCACCTTCTGCTTATCCCCACAGTGCTTCTGTACACCCACACTCCCACCACACCTGACATTTTCTGTGCCTTGTAAATGCACCTAGCCATCTCACTTCTTGAATATTCCATATCTCTGAGAGGCTGAATGACCTGTCCTCTGCTATAACCTCAACTGTCCATCTCTACCTATGCACAGAGTACCCACTTTAGATATGGCAAAGCCATCTCAGATTTCCCCAAAGAACTCTCTTATTATTAATGGCCTTCTACTGTTAAAACCCGTGTGTGTTTTAGTCAGTCACACATTTGATAAGAATGTCCTCCTCTCATTTTTCCTTCAACACCTTTTGTGCATTTTGTTTTAGTCTCTCATAAGGCGAGCTGACTGGGTCTGCTTTGTACAATTCAGGCTAAGCTGGGAGGCAGAGTTTAGCAGTGAGCAGTTAGCAAAGATCCAGGGTCAGAACTCAAGCCTTTTTTTTTTTTTTT